GCTTCGTGCTTACAGTTTCAATTTTGGTTTCAGGTACTTCCGCAAGTAAGGGGAAGAGCTCGGGATGATGGCATCGCACACACCACAACTTCAGTCTTTATCCTGGGAGTTTGTTTTGATTCATAGTTTGATTTGATAGAGTTGTTTCACGACATTTTATTATGAGTTGAGATAATTGACGTATGGTTTTTATGATATGACGATCAGTATATGAATTTTATTACTATTAAAACAAAAAAAAAATTGGTTCGTATTTTAGGATGTTACATCACTTGCTACGACATCCCTGAAATCCGGCAGTCTTCAGCTTGCCGTCAACGTGAGTCACTGGTGGTGATTCGGAGTCTTGGAGCTCGACTGATTGGGAAGGGAAGAAGGGAGTCGGGTGGCACCGGTAGAGGAGACATAAGGGGGAAAGAAGGTGACGGCTGCTACTCTTCAGCTAGGGTTAGGGTTTCCAACGAAATAAGTATTCATATATACCCTCCGATATGACATCTTTACCATAGTTACAATTATGGTCGCTCCCCATGGGATCTTTTCATTTTTAATCTATTATTTACCCTTTTACCCCTGATTCTATGATTATGACTTTTAACTCCTCGAAACTAACGCCTCGCTCAATTATTATTCATTTTAGGGCTTCTATACATTTATTTATTTATTTTATAAACGGGGTGTTACAGCTTATGTGATATATGTAGCTTATAGAGCTAATATGGATTATGCGATTATGTAGATTGTGTGGGGTATGCTCTGGGGAACTTACTAAGCATTAGCTTACAATTTGTTGGTTGTTTTAGCTACTTCAGAGTGTAAGGGAAAGGGCCGTCTTGATGGCACAACGTGCACTCTCCGACGATTTCATTTGGGGACACTCTAATATTCTGAATAAAATATTTGATACTGTGGATTTTGAAAACAATTGTTATTGGTATTTTATGATCATTGGAAACAATATTGTTAATTAAAAATGAAAATTTTTATTGGAAAATTTGGGTTGTTACACTAAATCAATTAAGATAATAGAAATGGTTGAGAGAAGTGCCAACTTAACCAGTAAGTGCTTAATCACTTAACACATTTTGCTAATAATACTTCTTAATTCCTCTTATAATTTTTGAGATTACTAACTTCCATCTACATAACTAGAACATCTAACTAACTAACTAACTAATAGTTAGTTAGTTAACTAAACTTATCTCTAACCAACCAACTAAACAAGTGGCTATGCAAGATCACATCTCATAAACTTCCATCCCATCACAAGCTAGTCTATGACTTTACTTCTTATCTTCTTCTCCTCTCTCCTCTTACAAATCTCAAAATATCTCCCCCATTCTTCTTTCATTTCTCCATCCAATACTCCAGGGTAAAAGCTCTCAATATTTATCCCATTTTCAGCCACACAAACTTCCTTCCAAAGCCATCAAAATCGTGAACCTTAAGGGATTGCTATCCCTTGGCGTTTCAGCCACCATTTCACCTATCTACACCTTCATTTTGCTTGATATTTTCACCACCAAATGCCCTTGGAATTTAGTTGTTATGCTACTCTAAATTAAGGACTAAAAAAAGTGGCTAAACTATTCTTATTTTGCCTTCTTGCTGAGAAAGTTTCTTGACAGCAACATAGCCAAAACAGTGGTTGTTTTCAAGCATAAAAAAACACCCAAACTTCTTCCATCTTTCTGCCCATTTTCAAGATTCAAAGTATACCATATGCAGCTACTTTCAAACACTTAAAACCCTCAAGAAATTTACCGTTTACCTCTCAAAAAGCTTGTGTTTTCCACCACCTTTTGGCAACATACTTTATATCTAAGTTTAAGCTAGGTATATTCTTGATTTCTACTCTTTCTTTTAATCATCAAGTTCACTGGCTTTAAAAGATTTAAGACATGATAAAAGTCTAACATACATGTAAATATATGTTTTTATGTGTTAAGACATCCAAAAGAATACTCAAATCACGAGCTTGAGTGGAACTAGAAACCGTACGAACCGTTCTCAAACCGACTAACTCTACGCGACAAAAGTGAGTTTTCTACGATCACTCATTTATGTTTTACAAGTTTTGGGGGAGAATATACACTAAACAAATCCTAGTTGGATGATTTAAAGGCTTTGCAAACTAAAAATACAAGTTATGTCACTAAACATATCTAAGCTTAAATTTTACTTTTTTTTACAGAAAAGTTGTTGTCTGTTCACGGACTGTTTTACCCTTCTTAAGCTTAATGGATTTCAAAACTGTACAATATGCAAACTGTTTAGGTCTATACCTTTTCAAGGATTACTCGCACATGTTCATACAATTTTTCTAGAATTTATGATGATTTTTACAAAACTGTCTATCAGAACATATTTGGACCAGTCTATAAAAATGAACATTTTTACTCTGGTTAGGAACCACTTAAGGTCAGGCTAAAAATTATGGACAAAGTAGACTCGTTTTCTAAGCTCTGAGAGTTTACAGATCCAAATTTTGACTGATGATGACTTTTCTATAATTTTTCTAAACGCATGGACATAATTGCTCTTTTGATTTACCTTGTCCTGTTTGGTTTTTCAAATATATATATACAAAGTTTTGTGGTAAATGAGAAATTCACCAATTATGATAATTTTTTAAGTCACACATAATTTAAGATTTACAAAAGTTTAAATTATAACAAGTGTTTCTAATATGATCATGTTGACAACCTTATAACATAAGATGCTTTGAACTATGTTGATTTTGGTCACTCATAGAAGGGGTGTTGTATAAACTTTGTTGGTCACTTACATTCGGAGTATTCTCAAAACAATTGTTATGGTCACTTACAGTCGGAGTACTGTCTAAACATGGATATGGTCACTTACAGTCGACACACTGTTTAAACTCGTATAGGGACACATACGTTGTTCATATAGGGACACATACGACCGTTGTCCCGATAGAACTTTGGTAGCTTAACGTTATTAAGCATTACAACCAAAGGTCTTCAAACTCAAACAATCGGGAACTATAACAATGTCCCAGATACAGATATAGTAATACACACTAGGATAAGGTCGTATGTGGTAAAAAATATTGTTTGTAGATTGTTAAACCGATTGTTAGTGTCTATTTATACAAACACTAATATTTTGCTTCACAAAAATATGTTAATATTTACTTTTATCATAAGTATGTTAACATGGATACTCGTATTGGATTTCAAGTATCGGGTCTCACACGAAGCATAGCGGTAATATTGTTGACCATGTTTTGCCCAACTTATTTTGTTAAACATTCCATGTTTTATATAGAGAGTATGTAGTATAAATATTGTTTGTAGATTGTTAAACCGATTGGTGGTGTTTATTTATATAAACACTTAATATTTTGCTTCACAAAAATATATTAATATTTACTTTTATCATAAGTATTTTTACGTGGATACTCGTATCGGATTTCAAGTATCCGGTCTCACAAGAAGCATATCAGTAACATTAATGATCATGTTTTGCACAACTTATTTTGTTAAATATTCCACGTTTTATAAAGATTTCTTTCTATAAAACTCACGGAGTCAAAACCTGTGGAACTCACCAATAATTTTTGTTGACGTATTTTAAAAATGTGTATTCTCGGGTAACTACGAAGCCGGAGGTAGAACATCGGTTTTAAGAAAATTATAGTTCCTTTCTTTTGGGAATAATCTTGAACTGTTTTTATTTACGGTTGTGTGTTTAAAATGAAGATATAATTTCAATTCCAAAACTTAAAGGTTTCTAAAGTATTGATTCAAATATGTTAAGTATTCGACACATGTGGTTGACTGTGATCCAATTTTATAACGTCGCAACCTCGACGATTTCCATCGTCGGTCTGGGTGTGACAACTCCCGTGAGAATTGTGTCGTTGTGTCTGGGCTGTGAGGGCTCATCATCAAAGACACATTAGTATGACATACTCATTCTATTCGTACCAGGAACATCTCCTCAGGAAGATAGATGGGGCGATTGAGGTGAAATCCCATGTAAATCTTACTTTCTATTCACTCATGGGATTCGTGCGGTCCACTGGGGACCACCATGGCTCATCTCTTCTCGAGAATCCGTACATCTCTTATTCATTTATTAAAATATATTACATTCTAACATTATCATCCTAATTTATTATGAAATTTTGAGATGTTATAGAAAATCATCAAAACGGGATAATTTTTTACAAAGGACAAATGTTTTCGCCATAAGTTTATGAACATTATGACTATTTTGAGGTTTAGCTGACTTTTTTTATAAAATTTTAAAAAGTAATTGCTATAATTAATTTGATCTTTTTTAATATAATTACTCAAGTTAGTTACTTTTTTTTCTTGGTAATTGTTCTTTTATTCTACCAAATGGTCCATGATTTAACGGTCTCAGAAATATTTGGAAAATATATTGATAAGTCACTTGATAATCCAAATCGCACCTTTACATGAAAAATCTAGATTTAGAAATAAAACAGAAAGGTGTATATGTTAATTCATGTTCTACTTTTTTTTATATTAAGTTATTTAGTGCCCAAAAGGAATCTTTTTTCGTAGTCGAACTTGTTTGACAAATTCTTCCATTCAATCTTACGTTAGTTTCCCTCAATCCAATATAACGCGTGCACCAAATTTTTCTTTCTCCTCTTCATTTAATAAATAAAAGAATTTTATTTTACTATTTATAAAATACATGCAGACTGACCGTATTGACTTATTTATGATTACGATGATAAACGAATTTCGATGAGCTTAGATCCTGCGATTTACATATGACTATTTATACATCGTTCAAGAAACAATTATCAGAGTCATCATTTCAAATTAAAAATTAATAGTTTAATCTACTATGAATTGAGATGGAATTACCAAAATAGCCCTTGCATCAAAAAATGAATCTCAAAGTTGGGGTGGGGTGGGGGGGGGGGGGGGGGGGGGGTCAGTTTTTTTTTTATATATATCAACCCCGGCCACACAACTCTTTCATTTTCCTTCTAAACCTCTACAATACATTTGGCTAACAATTAGTTCATATTGAAATCGATAAAGAATATGGAGGAAAATTACTTGAATTTTGTGTTGGTGCCACTAGGACTGCTCGTGATGGTTGGGTACCACGTTTGGCTCTTTTATCAAATTCGTCGCAATCCTGTCGGAACCGTTATAGGCATGAATGCAATCAATCGTCGATTTTGGGCAATATCTATGATGGAGGTATGTGTATTTATCTATAATAGTATGATTATGTGACTCAATGGCAATTTGTGGCGGATTTATAGTATAACAATGATGTAAAATCGGTATACTTTTAAATCAAATATTATTCTACCATTCGTTCATATCGATCTTTTTCTTTAATAGAAATGTCAAAATCGAAAGACTGAATTAAAATAGAGAATTAATAGATTAACATATCATTATTTTATATGAATAGAAAGTTGGAAACGACAAAATATAAAAAAATATTTACTTTCTTTGAAATCATATTTACCAGAAATGTGATTATTTGTAAAGCAAAACTATTAAATATTAAAAATATTTATATTGCCCTCTCTTAATTTTATATTTGCATATCCTTTTTAGGTAGAGAGTTCATATTCATTTCCTTATATATATTAGAAAAAATCAATTTATTTAATTAAATAAATGTATACCATACTATAAAATAGACAAATTTCTCGCATCATATGAAATTCCAGTGACCTTTTAAATTTTCTAATAAACTATCGTGACCTTTTAAATTTCTAATAATAAATAAATTGGTTAATTAATGTAAGATAAATACAAAAAACAATATACTTAAATTTTAGTTTTTTTTTATAATAATAAGTGGTTTAAAAAACTAACTGATAATAATAATTTACAATAACATAAAATTATAAATTAAATTACATTATCTTACAAAAATTGATATTTTAAATAATGAGCAAAAATTTATAAATTAGTCAAATAAATGATTTTAAAACACTTAATTATAACAATAGTTAAAATTAATATTAAATAAAAAATTATATTTAAATTTATTCACGAGTAAAAGGTGACTAGATGTTATTAAATAATTTGATTATACTAACTGTTTATTTTATCGTATCGTTCAAATTAATAGTTATAGCTTTATGTATCAACATAGTGTAAAAATATTATTTCATAGTTAATCTACACAATGTGCAGATATTCGCTTAGTAATAAACAATCATAACATGACCTCTCAAAACGTGTATTGATTTTTTTTAAAGTCTTTTATGTTTAAAAAAATCACTTAAATAATAATATCCCATGGTGTTTGATAAGAATAACTGTAAACAAAAAGCTAGAACGGTATAGTAATATTCGACAAAATCGAATATAATCAACATATTGTTAATTGACATTATCTATTTAATTTATTTATGAAAATATATGTTTACTTATCAAAAAAATGTTTGATTTCTATTTAGTTTTGGAAATCAAAATCAATGTCTTTCATTTAATTATAGTCTTGCATCGTATCTTTAATTTCTAATTTACTTCGATTAAAAGATATTTGGTTTACCAGTAACTAATGACCTCTTAACTACGAAGTCATTAGTTTAATCTCGCTTGAACAAAAACAATTAATTAGAAATAGATTAAGTTGCCATCAAAATAAAAAGATAATAATAATAAAATAAAATGAAGATGATGATATTTATTGAAAATTGAAACCCCTTTTATATATATATATATATATATATATATATATATATATATATATATATATATATATATATATATATATATATATATATATATATATATATATATTAGGGGTGTGCAAAAAACCACATAAACCGCACAAACCGCCCGTACCGTACCGCACCGCATAATGCGGTTTATAATTTTGCGGTGCGGTTTACAGTTCGTAATTTTGTCAAACCGCACTATACGGTGCGGTTTACGGTTTATAGTTACCAAACCGCGGTTCAAACCGCACCGCGTCGTGTATATGTGTGTGTGTGTGTGTGTCTATATATATATATAATATATATATATATATATATATATATATATATATATATATATATATATATATATATATATATATATATATATATCAAAGTTTCCAAACACCAAATACTTCATACTGTCTAATAATTTTATTCTATATCACAATAGTTAAATACGGTAATTAAAGAATTAAAAGACTATGATATCAAATTTCATAAGTCATAACAACTTAGCAAAACATATGAAACCGCACCGCATAATGCGGTTTAGAGCTTTTGTGGTGCGGTTTGCGGTTTCCAAAAAACTCAAACTGCATGTGCGGTGCGGTTTGCGGTTTCAACTCTAAACTGCACCAAACCACACTGCGAACACCCCTAATATATATATATATATATATATATATATATATATACACACACACTAGGCGAATGTCCGCGCGTTGCGTAGAAACATCTATATAACTGAAATCTTTACAAATATATGTTTTTTTTTTAAATATAACAATAATGTTGTTGTTCAATTTGATATAATAATTCGTATACTAAGTTGATATAATATATTGACTATTTTGAATTATATGATAATATATAGATCTATTAAAACTGCATAATCTCAATTTTTTGAATGTCCTCTACCCACGGGCTACTCATGAATAAAACTAAATATAATATATGGTTTAATGTTATTTATAGTTATTGTTATTGTGAATTATTTTTTTGTTTACATTTATTTGCTTAACGTTTTAATTTCTTTCATTGTAATCATTTAAAACATCAAACATTTTTTTTTTTGATTTTAAAGGTAACAATATAATCATTTATATAGAGTTATTTTTAACTATTGTTATTGAAAGTTATTTTAAGCTACTTATTAGAAAACTTTTAATGATTATAAAAATATATTTAGGAAATATTTTAGTTAAATTGATATTACAATTTAAATTTTGTATTTAGCACTACAATTTATCTATTTTAATTATTCAAAAGATATTCTTTGGGTTTTTTAAGTGGAACTGAAACTTATATTGAAGTTGACCCTGTAATGTTATATTTAAATTAACAATTTAAGTATTTTGTCCAAAATAGTTTACATACAACAATATATTAAATCTAATAAATTAAGTATAATGTGTTAAAATTTAAAAACATAACTTTATCAATAGAAGTAAAAATATTATTTTAATATTGAAATTAAGTTTATTTATGATTACACTTTAGGTTTTATACTTATTTAACCTTATTAACCAACTTATAATCATTATTAGAAAGACACTAAAATTTATCAATTATAACTATTTACAACATATTCTTTAGGTTGTCTAAGTTGAACTTAAATTTATATTTAATTTGATCCTATAAGGTTATATTTAAAATATAAATTTAAATATTTTATACAAATTGTTCAAAAGTTGTAGTTTTAAAATGATAATGACTTATATACAACAACATATTAGACCTAATAAATTAAGTGTAATATGTTAAAAGTTAAAAACATAACTTTATAAGTAGAAGAAAATATATATTCTTTTAATATCTTTAAATTAAGTTTATATATTATTACACTTTAGGTTTTATATTTATTTAACCCTATTAACCAATGTATAATCATTATTAGAAAGAAATTGAAAAGTACAAGGAGTTTCAAATGGATGTGGTGAAAAGAAAAATGAATAGGAGTTTCAAATGAATGTGGTGAAAGGAAAAATGCTTTCTTTATAAGTATACAATGATGAAATGATATATATATATATATATATATATATATATAATATTATATATATATATATAATATTTATATATATATAATATATATATATATATATATATACGATAAGGTTTAATAGAGAACTATTATTAACAACGAAGCAAGTAACCAAGCGTGAGCCAAAGGAATTATATCATAAACCCACATCTTTACCAAATTATATTATAAACCCACCTCTTTACCAAAAACCCATCTTTTTTTAAAAAAAAAAAAAAAAAAAAAAATTAAGCCACTTTATTTATCAGGAAAAAAAATATATAACTCTGTTAATGATTTTTCACCCTCTTTTCATAGAGATCAATTTTAAATATAAAAAGCAAATTTTTTATTTTTCGAAAAAAACTCATTTCTTTTTGTTGTTTTTCGATATTCAAGTTTATTTTTATAAAAAAAAAAAAGAACTAATTATACCAAAATTTTCAATTTTTTGTCCTCTTTTAATTAACATCAACATCAATTATAAAATAATAAAAAAAATCTCGATCAGTTTAGATTCAAGGTTTGAATTTGAATTGTAAACATTTCAGTTTTAACATTCAAAATGTAAATCTGACTTACTATTATTCAAATTGTGAATATGCTCCGATTCACAATCAGACAATCTGAATCCGGATAGATTTACAATGTGAATATGTCCAGTGAATCTAGGATGATTCACAATGTGAATCTATACATAAATATAATTTTTTTACATCAATATGATTTTATATTTAAAGAGTACCAAAAAAAATATAAAATTTGATATATTTATTAAAATTTTTGAATAAACGATACGCTTTAACTTTTCAAAAAAACAAGAAATGAAATAAGAATTTTTTTATTTTTTATTTTTTTTATCAATATGGATCTTTATGGAAAAAATACGAAAAATCATGAACAATGGTGTATTCTGGTTTTTTTTTTCGATAAAAAATATGACCTAAAAAATTTGAGTTTTGTTATAATCCGATACATGTGTGTGTAGTATAAAAGTGTACAACCCTTGTTTTTGACGTTAATCGCTTTAAATTCCGACGTTTTATATTAGTTTCTTGGTTCTTAATTAATAATAGTTATCTATTGAACTTTTGTCTCTCTCTCTTTTTCTCTCTCTCTCTCTCTCTCTCTCTCTCTATATATATATATATATATATATATATATATATATATATATATATATATATATTATGGTTGCAGAAATCAGGATTAATCGGCGATTAATCGTGGATTAATCGTTTGACGTTCTCCAATCGTCGTGGATCAGGGCATTAATCGGAAATTTAAGATTAATCGGGTTTGGCGGGATTAATCGGCCTTGGCGGGATTAATCGGTCAACAAAAGTCAAAAAAGTCAAAAAAATGTCAAAAAAAATTTAAAATTTAAAAAAAAAAAATTCAAAAAACCAACTTTCTTTTTTTACTCCAAAATTTTCAAATTTTTAAAATTTCAAATATTATACTAAAATGTTCATATTTTCGTATTTCCAAATTTCCAAATTACAACTTTTCTTATTTTCTAATTTTAAAGTTTTGAAAATAAGAAGTTTTGAATTTCTATATTTTTTGTTATTTTTTATAAAAAATAAGTTCTAAAAGTTGAAAAAAAGATTGGTTCATTGGTTCATTGGTTAATTATGGTTCTCTATTGAACCTCACCCTATATATATATATATATATATATATATATATATATATATATATATATATATATATATATAATATATATATATATATATACTATGCGAATTGCCTTGCGTTGCGCAACGTAAAAATACGTACTTAAATTTTTGACAATTAAATATTAAAAATAACATATGTTATTGATATTTATATCATAACATCTTTCATATTTGACCCTAATATTACATATTATTCAAAATACAACGTTTTAATTTTTAGAAATATACTAATGTTTGTTTTTTGTATTTGATGAGTTCTTTTCTATCAAAACCAAAACATCCAACAAATACTAAGAAACTTATATTTGTTTATCACCACACACCTGTACTGCTCTGCTTCAATCTAGATTACGCAACTACAAAGGCACAAAGTGATATTTATATCCATTAATATCTCCTAAATAAATAATGTGATGTATTATTATTTGTGAAATGCATATCGATGCATCATATTATTTCATATTCCAACATCGGCAAACTAAAACCATATAGGCATAGTCTGGATACCAACATCTAATTTTTATTAGAGACTAATACAAACACCCCTACCACAAAAATGCTTGGTTGAGACTAAATGTATATATACAATAAAATGAAAGCTAAAATGATTATCTTCTCATGACTTGAAAATGAGCATGACAACTCATTGGTATCAGTTGTATCGGTACAACATTAAAATATGCATAGCCTGCCTTTAGTTCACATGTGATATTTTATAGGATCAAATAGGAAATCATGACTTTAATGACAACTAAGACCAATTGACATGTAAAACAATTTATATGTAGCAATACATTTACTAATATGACTTCAAATTTTCCGATATCTTTCAGGGTTCAATAAATCCACCTTGTGATGCCAATGATGACTATTTCACAATTTCCATCTTTGTTTTTTATATCCTTAAGTATTAAACTGGTTTTAACAAAAAAATCATAAGAAAAATAAAAATTCTTACACACATGGATACATATGGAAGTGTCAAATATTGAAGGTAGAGATAATTTCCACTGTTGAAGGAACGATGATAAAAACTAAATCTATTCAAAGAATTTAAAATGATCAGCAAAATTTGTTTGTGTATGAATGAGCAAATATTAATTTAGTACCTATAGTGAATGGAATTAGATGCATCTTTAAGCAAAATTTTCTACCCCAAATATAACATGTGACATACCGGAAGCAACCACATATTGAACAGTTGGTAAAAAAAATTATTGAAATTTATATGAAAAGCAATACACACATAAAAATCTTTTTTCCTTCTTTGAAGGTCCTTAATCCTTTCAAAATATGACAAAAATGTTCCTATTATTCACCGTATTTATACTTGATCTTGTTATGTTTGATGTTGTTCATGTTATTTTTACATTGAAGAGCCAATTAATAATCATTATTAAAAAGTCTTTTGAGTGGTATTAGTTAAATTAGGGGGTTTCAAATACATAAGAATCAAGGAAATTAAATTAAGGAGTTTCAAATGCATAAGAATCAAGGAAAAATGGTTCATTTATAATATATATATATATATATATATATATATATATATATATATATATATATATATATATATATATAAGTTCAGTAGCGAACCATAGTTATTGGTTATTCAAGAAACCAAATCTTTTTTTTCAATTTCTAGAGCTTATTCTTTATTGAAAAAAAATCTAAAAATATCTAAATTCATATATTAACATTGTGAATGTGAAAAATATTTTTCGGATTCACCGTGTGAATCCAGATTCACGTTGTGAATTTTCAAAGATTCACATTGTAAAATTGACGTAAAAACAATTGAATTTTATATTATTGGAAAAAGGATAAAAAAAGTATGAATTTCTGTTTTTTTTTTTTTTTTTTTTTTTTTTTTTTTTTTTTTTTTGATAAAAAATAAGTTTTAAAAGTTGAAAAAAAATTGGTTCCTTGGTTCCTTAGTTAATTATAGTTCTCAATTGAACCTCTCTCTCTCTCTTTCTATATATATATATATATATATATATATATATATATATATATATATATATATATATATATATATATATATATCTATATATCTTCATTACCTTATAAAGCATTTTTGGTCAAATGCTGAATTTTAAGTCGTACAAACATACAATGCATTTGTACAATCAATTGATGCATTTCAAAAGGAGTAGAGTACATATGGTCAACAGTTGAAAATGTCAAATCTCTTATCCCCTATTATTAGCCTATTTTGACCCGGTTCATTCCTTATCTCCGTATTTCCCCAAATCTCGCAATTTCTGTTCACAAATCTTGTATATATATCGCTGACATTTCCATTTCTAAGGTTTAATTCATCTTTCAGCATTTAACCACCATTGTCACACCCGTAGCTTGGCATGGATAAACGGCTAGTGTGTGTGTGTGTGTATATATATATATATATATATATATATATATATATATATATATATATATATCCCAATCTGATTCCTCTTCTATATGATACGACTAACAACCGAAAGAAACGAAGGATTTGAAATCTGATTCAACTAAATTACTAATTATAAAATAATTAAATAGCTAATTATTATTTATTTATTTATTTTTGCGGAACACTCTTTCATATTCCTTAACAGAATCGAGAAGGAAAGGACAAAACAATTAATCGTACTTAATAAATAAAGGGTTTTTTTTTTGCTACATGTCAATTTTTTATGAGTTTAAATACTTGTCATTTTGTGGTATTTTTGAAATAAATATTATTAGTTATCAATTTTTTATTTGTTTTAATTTTTAAAATTAAAATCATATAATTATATATGTAAAGTATTAAATATCATATATATATGATATTTAATTGCAATGAATACGTTTCTTCTTTTATTATTTTAAAGTTGTAGATTAAAAGATATTTTCTGTATACACTTTAATTTAATGTTAATTTTTTCTTAAATCAACCTGTATAATACACGGATTTCACACCTAATATAAAATAATATAGAGATTCTCATAAAATATCCTTCAAAAAGCCAAAGAGTCTTTGGACTCTTAGAATAGCATTTTATCAATTATTAACTATTAAGGTCATTTTCAATCCAATACTAAAATTTAATTTTCTCATTATTTGTTGTATCACCTGCTTTAATGTAACATCGTTTGCATTATTTTAATATAAAAATACTATACAAATCAATTTGATTAACATTAATTAGAGAAAAATTATATTAAAGTTCCATTGATTAATAGTCCTTTTAATTTTAGGTTTATATATTTAGTATATCTGACTGTATAGTCAGATTTTAGACATAATAACTATTATTTATAATATTATATCATATATGTAGTAACAATAATTAATCATAAATCTGAAACGTAATCATTATATTTTAAATTTTTTTTTAAATCACTTTTTATATATAAATGTTGCTTTGATAATACAACGGTTACTTCAGATTAATTATATATGATGCTTTAACTGATATAGTAATACAATAACACAATTTATTGTCCTCTGTAAAATTTTGTGGTTAATGGTATCAAGTGTTTGATAAAAATGTCTCACACATCTAAAGGTTGTCAAATCTTGGTTAGGACAAACGGAATAGTTTAAGAGTAATTTGTAACTAATGTAGATAGTGTATGATTTTCGTTTATAAAAAAATACACTTATAACTTATAAGTGGTGTGTTTTTGAACTATATAACTTACAAAAAGTATATACTTAAAATATACTTTTTGTATAAAAAAAGGTGTATAATACATTTTTTTGGTGGTTTGGGGTGTCAATGCCTTATACGACATGAAAATAAATACTTGGCACGAAATGAAATTCCGTCAAATTGGAATTGGAATGTGTTTTAGTGTCAAGCATAAAATAAACGATGTCACGGCGTATCATTTTCATGTTCAAGATTCGACATAAAAGAGTTTGTCCTATTTATTGTGTGTAGCGTTTTTTAAAAATAATTTACAATTAAATAAACTAAAGGTTTATTTTATTTTATTTTTTTTAGGTTTCTTATGTTGATCGTTTTATAGTGTTTTAATTGTGTCATTTTCATGTTAATAAAACAAAACATGATATCATGTTGTGTTGTGTTTATCTCATATAAAATCATGTCATGTGGTATTAGCTAAAACATAAAAGCATTACCCGATTTTCCACCCTAGATATGGTTTGGATAATGGATATGATGTAAATGCAAAAAGACAAGGGTATATGTTGTGTGTGTGCGAAACAGATAGATAGATAGACCGAGATACACAAAGGTTTTTAGAGTGAAACAACTAGATGTGGCGACCGACAAGATCCCAAGACAATGAGGAGCTTTTACTTTTGTTCTAAATAATTCTACTATTTTAAAAACTAATAACTTATATATATTATATTTACTCAGGACACGCAAAAGACTGGAGTTCTAGCGGTACAAACATTGAGAAACAACATCATGGCATCCACCCTTTTAGCTTCTACAGCGATCATGCTCAGTTCCCTAATCGCCGTCCTCATGACCGGAGGAGTTACCGGACGTGGCTCTGCCGGTAGCAACGACCACCAATGGACCGGTATAACCTATAATCAAGGCACCAAGCTCATGTCGACAATCAAGTACTTCAGCATATTGGTCTGCTTCTTGGTATCTTTCTTGATGAACGTTCAATCGATCAGGTACTACAGCCATGCCAGCATGTTAATTAATGTTCCTTACAAGAACATCACCAACTTCACCAGCCACCGTCTCACTGCGGACTACGTCGGATCCACCGTGAACCGGGGTGGTTATTTCTGGTCTCTTGGTCTTCGTGCTTTCTACTTCTCCTTCCCACTGTTCCTTTGGTTGTTCGGTGCTATACCCATGTTCATTTGCTGCGTTTTTATGGTGTTTATGTTGTACTTTCTGGATGTTGCGTTCGACGTTGGGTGGGTAGCTGATGTGGCCTCTATAGATGAAGAAACTGGTTAGGAGTAAACTAATGTTTTGGGATTCAATCCAAGTTGAATCTCGCATTGTTGAAGCTTATGTTTTAGGGATCTCTTTCGAACCATGAATAAATATGTTTTGGGATTCAATCCAAGTTGAATCTCGCATTGCTGAAGAAACTAGTTAGGAATAAATCAATGAATATATAATAACTTTCATTATATTTCTTATATTGTTGCTTGATCGAGCATTTCAAAAATGCATATGCAATCAGGGATGAAATGAGCAGTCTAGCTACTTAATGAATTCGTGTATTTTGTTTAAATACAATACCCAAAAGGCCAAAATATTTAAGTCATTGCAAAACGAATGCTTGATCACTTAACTTTTGATTTTGTGCTAATTTGGTCACTTAACTCTTTTTAAGTTTTAAAAGGTCATCAAACTTTTGGCTTTGTGCTCATTTAGTCATTTAACTTTTGTTTTGGTCACATTTAGTCACCTAACTTTTTTAAAATTTAGTGACTAAATGAGCACAATTTTAAAAGTTAGGTGACTAAATGAGCACAAATCTAAAAGTTAAGTGACCAAACCAAAAGTTAAGTGACTAAATGAATACAAAGTCAAAAATTTGATGACCTTTTAAAACTTAAAAATAGTTAAGTGACCAAATAAGCACAAAACCAAAAGTTAAGTGATCAAAAATGACCTAAATCCTATTTTAACATATTAATTGTCATTATTTTATATAGATAGAAAGAAAAATAAGAAACAAAATAAAACCATATTTAATTTTTCATTATTAAATAAGATGTGGTATACTTAAGGGAAAATGACATATATAACCAAAACAACTTTTTAGAATTGACCATTTTAATCATTTAAGTTTTTTCCTGGCTTTATAAGGAAACTAAGTGGTGGGTAACCTATCCTTTTAGTCACTTTACTTGTTGTAGCCATTTAGATGATAGATAACAACTATTCACTACTATCTTCCTCTCTTTCTCTCTTATGTAGTCAACAAAAAACAATCAACATTTTCTTCATTTTCCGTGGTTCGAAAGAGATCTCACATATACAGACAAATATTTCCTTCTGTCTTCTTCTCAAAAACATACAGATGGCTTATGTTTTCGGTTCTTTGAAAAATGATAGAAGGGGTTGTTTGGTGATGCTCGACTGTGAGAAAACGAAGGTAGAGGTGGTGGTTTCGGTTTGTGAGAAACACAAATGCAACAAGTGGCTTTATTGGTGGTGGTGGCTTTGGGTTAAATTAATCGGAGGTAGCAGTGGTTACCGGTGTTGGTTTGGCGGAGGTAGAACTCACGATGATGTTCGTTTCTAGTCACAGTAGGTGGTATAAGGTTGAAACGACCCAAAATACGACCCCAAATTTTTTGTTTTAATATAACTAAAAATCAAATCCTCGAATCTCATATATAATAAAACCATGGAATAAGTAACTCAAATGTCATAGTACTGTGTCAAAACAAACCATATCAGTCATAACAATATCCGAAATAGACTCCCAGGATAAACTGAAGCTGTGGTGTGTGCGATGCCATCATCCCGAGCTCTTCCCTTTTCTAGCGGAAGTACCTGAAACCAAAACTGAAACTGTAAGCACGAAGTTTAGTGAGCTCCCCTAACCTACCACATACCATACAATAACACATAAACAACTATTGGGCCTTTCCCACTGCATCGGATCGAAGTCCAGAACTAACCAAGGCCTTGCCCTCTGCATCGGGCCGAAGTCTGGAAACTGCATCAGACCGAAGTCCGGAACTGACTGGGACCTTGTCCCCTGCATCGGACCAAAGTCCGAAACTAACTGCATCGGACCAAAATCCGGAACTGACTGGGACCTTGTCCCCTGCATCGGACCGAAGTCCAGAAACTGACTGAGCATACATAGCATAGCAAATCATATCAACTAGCATAAACACATATACTGCATACTGCATCGGACCGATGTCCGGAACACATAACACAAGGATCTGCTTGAATCACAGAGACATCAAGCACATTGAACTACTGCATCGGACTGAAATCCAAAACTATTGATAGCTAGACGGGTCGGCATTATGGTCGTAGACCTGTTCCTATTGGAAGGGAAACTCACCTCGTAACGCCGACTGCTGAGATGCTAACTCTAACATTGGCTGACTACTGCTCTGGAACTGTCCGGCTACAAGTCCCAAAGACATTATGTCAGGTACTGATAAATGCCCTCAGGGTAAAATAACTATTTTACCCCTAGTCAAAGTCAACTCCCTGGTCAAAGTCAACTCCCTGATCAAAACCAACTTTCAGTTGACCAGACTCGCCGAGTTGGGCCGTCGACTCTCCAAGTCCCTATCATCCATTCTAGTCCTCTACCCGCTTCTACTCGTCGAGTTTGGCAACGACTCGACGAGTTCTTCTTCGATGCTAACATCAAGTCTAACTTCATCCGACTCGCCGAGTTGTATGAACAACTCATCGAGTCCTCCTTCAACATATTAACACGTCCAGACTGCGACTCGCTGAGTCGAATGAACAACTCATCGAGTCTGAAGAACAACTCGTCGAGTCCCAAGCATGCTATTACTACACAGTCGATTCTAATTGATTTCAGTGCTTCCAAAACATAGATCTGAGCTTCTAGGACTGGTTTTACACGTAAAGTTCCAACTTTACGTGCATGCACAAGAGTATGAAGCTAAAGTACCCAAAATCAACAAATACTAAGCACTTAGGGTTTGGAACAAGGCCAAGATTGCATAAAGGTGGCTATAATGAGCTCCTGGGGTTCAATAACGTCCAGATCTAAGGTTTCCATCCAAAGGAGAGTCCATATCTCAAGTTTCGAATCATAAAAGGTTCCAAAGAAGACATAACAAGCATAAAAAGGGGTTTTAATGGAGGAATACACAAGGTCATAACTTCATTACCTGAATGAGAAACATATGGAAGCTAACTCCTGGATCTCCTTTCTTTTCTATGGACCTTCTCTCCTTCCTTCTCTTCCAAAGCTTCCAAGCTAACACAAACACACTCAAACTCAACAATGGGGGCTAGGGTTTACAGGGGAAACGTTCTAAAGGTGTTGGAGGCTGGGGTGGGAGGCTATAATGACATTTAAATAGGGTACAAACCCTTAAAATTAGGGCTTCATCCAGACAGGCGGACTCGCCGAGTCCCAACGTATGGACTCGTCGAGTAGCCAACTCCATTTACGTGATCATCCCGTCTATACTCGACGAGTCGGGCTACGGACTCGTCGAGTACCCATTAAGAAATGAAAAATACTTTATTTAAATTACATACCAGAAATGGGGCGTTACAAAGGTGTTTTTGTTTGGAGGTTTGGTTGTGGTGGTGGTGGTGGTTTTTCACGAAGGTGATGACAGATGTCCCCGGGGTTCATAGGCGATGGTTTAAGGGTGACGTGAATATTAGAAATCAACCTCCTGTTGCTATAGCAAAATCATAAAAATAGAGTACAAAATAACAAAAATAAAAGGAAAGAAAAAACAGAGGAAACCTTTGGGGAAAATTTTCTGCTATCTTTTATTCATAATTATCAATCTAATCTGAAATGAGAAATGAGAACTTAATAAAAACAAAGGAAATTCCTAGAAATAAGCAAACGGACTCTACTACTCCTCAAGATTAGGAGCTCATGGCCAACATGGCCTTTAATTATTCCAACTTAAAGAAAAAAAACTAGAATGCCCATGAAAAAATAAGGCTTATTTGAACATGTTTGGAGTAAATCCAACAGTGAAGGTGGTGGCTAGGTGAAACGATGGAGCTGAGATGTTCGCCTGTTGTATTCGTCATGGGGAATGGAACCAAAGGCGGTGAGATTCGGCTATGGTGGTTTACGAGGGTGAGATAAGGAAGGGCTACGACGAGGTGAAGATTTGTCGATGGTGCTTGCGGTATTGGTGGTTGAACATATGTAAAAAGTTGTTTTTTTTTCAGTTTAAATGGGTTTCGGTGGGGGTGAAATACAGAGTAGGTGGGTCGAGTTGGTTGTCAATTGTGGGGTTTGGCTGATCTAAGGTGGTAGTAGCGGTGGTTAATGGGTGGAGTCCGGCTGGAGTTCTCAGGTTTGGTAGGTATGGTGTAAAGATGGTTTAATGGTGGTATAAAGAGGAGTTTGTGAGCTTGATTGTTGAAGGGATAAGGTGGTCATGTGCTTTAAGATGTACATACCAAACAAAAATATTGACGTATAAACGAAATTCAAAGTCAATGAGGGAAAATTGTTCAACAAATGTCAATGTAACCGGGTGACCCCTTCATTTTGGCCAAAAGGACGTAATCGACCCGACAAAAATTACTTATTTCCCTCATAAAACGATGAAAATAGTTTAGGGACTAAATGGAATAACCCTAGAAAGTTTGTAGGACAAATATTTCATTTTCCCTATTTTTAATGAAGAATTTCATTTGAATAACAATACATTGTTTAATCCTTAAATTGAAAACATTGTAATCGTTTCATCTTGAATGGCAATTTTTACTCTTTTAACAATTAAAATGCCATATAGCACATAAACACATAATGTAGGTGTAAATCTCAATTTTGCTAACCTACTAGTGGAGCAGATCCGTATACAACAATTTTTCTCCGTACATAACAATTGGTGCTTTAAAATGTTGTATTGTACAACTATATGATGCATAAATTGTTGTGTATGACAAAAAACTGTTGTGTACAAATCACTTTCCTATTGATTAACACGTAATTTCAAACATTATGTCCTTAAACTACAAATATATCTGGGTGACTTCTTTTAATTTTTTTTTTTTTGTGCATAATACAAGTTTTCTTCAAATTTAACATAAGCTCCCTTTTATATATATATATATATATATATATATATATATATATATATATATATATATATATATATATATATATATCTTATATTTTATACTATATATAAAGCATATTAATAATCTCTTGAATTTTAAGAGGTACAAGATACAAAGCTTTGTACAAATCAATTATGTGTAACAAAACCATTAATACTTGCCAAAACTTTAAACACTTGAATTAAGGAAGGTTATTAAAAAATTAATTTAAAGTGAAATAACAATTTTAAAATATTTATTCCATCAGTATGGGTTAATTTACATTTCTTAAACTAGATGCCGATAATAATTAATTTACATCAAATGTATAAATATAC